ATGGAACTCTCATTAGAGCCCAGGAGAGGGACTGTGTGGGACCAAAGCCAGTCTCCACCCAGCGCTGTGAGGGCCAGGACTGCTTGACTGTGTGGGAGGCAGGAGTCTGGTCTGAGTGCTCAGTCAAGTGTGGCAAAGGTTTTAGTCATCGGACAGTGAGATGTACAAACCCAAGAAAGAAATGTGTCCTCTCCACCAGACCGAGGGAGGCTGAAGATTGTGAGGATTATTCAAAATGCTATGTGTGGCAGATGGGTGACTGGTCTAAGTGCTCAATTACCTGTGGCAAAGGAATGCAGTCTTGTGTTATCCAGTGCATGCATAAGATCACAGGAAGACATGGAAATGAATGTTTCTCTTCAGAAAAACCTGCAGCATATAGGCCATGCCACCTTCAGCCCTGCAACGAGAAGATCAATGTAAATACCATAACTTCACCTAGACTTGCTGCTCTGACTTTCAAGTGCCCAGGAGATCAATGGCCTGTTTACTGCCGAGTGATCTGAGAAAAGAACCTGTGTCAAGACATGAGGTGGTATCAGCGATGCTGCCACATGTGCAGGGATTTCTATGCCCAAAAGCTTCAGCAGAAGAATTGACCTCTAGGAAGCTGGCCAATCACTCCCTCTCTTTGCAATTACATTATTTATAAACACCCCACTAGCATATTCTTCCTCTTTCACGAGGAAGCTATGTTGTAAGCACAGTGAGAAAACTGGGCCAAGAAGCGGGACTGGGCATTTCACCACATGAGCCTGCGGGGGCCATTTGTGTACTGTGCAGTGATTCCAACTACAGGTTGGCCCTGATTTGAGTTCTGTTTAACTTCAAGTTCTTGGGAATGCTTACAAAGTGGGCAGGTCTCCTGGAGGAGTCCAGATTCTAGGGATGGGGGTGGGGTGGGTGGGCTCAATCCCAGTTGAGACTAGGTCATTGGGACTGAAGGAGGGGTGGGGTACTGTGCTGTCCTGGGTACCATTGCACTGACTGCTGTACCAGACCTCTCCCTGGCTTTGCCTTCAGCTCCTCTTCTTATCACCTTCCCTTTCATGTCTGGAGCCATTCTGCAGTGGTGTCCTAAAACAGATGAGGAACAGAGGAGGTTTCTTTGCACTGCCTGCTTAGTGATGGAGTTAATGTTCCTTAGAGGTCTGTATTTTATACTACCCTTCACAACAAGCACTGTCTTCTGATGAGAGATCCTCTATATTTTTTTGGTGTTAAAACATTTCTGTGAGTGATAGTTGATAGTTGTGTGATGACTTGTCACTGAACAAATTGGTAGCCTTTATCTTAAAAACGTTTTTAGTTGATGCAAATATCTGGGGATTAGTGGCCTAGCTGGTAGAGCCAGAGGATTCTGGAACCTGAATTGGACTGTGGTGTTCCTCGCTGCTCATTGCCAAGCATTCTGCAGGTTGGCACCAGAGACCTAGTGCAGTACCAGAGAGGGGCTGTCATGTCCACAGATCAGTGCCTGGCTTTGGCTGTGTCCTGTTGGATGCCTGGCTTTGGCTGTGCCATTCCTGGATGTTATTCTTTCTTTTCCCATGGAGCTCCCTGAGTGGCAGCAAGAACCAGAGGACAGAGCTGGTCTGGGGAAGCTGAGCTCCAAGTGTGAATGGGTGTCTTGCCTTCTTCCTTTTGCCTTGTACTTCCTTCTTCCTCGTCCTTTCTCATTTTAGACCCTTTAAGTTGGAAATGGACGCATATACTCTATCATTCTTTGGTGTGTGTAAAGAGATAGAAAGTGCAATTTCTTTGGGATATAGTTGGTGCTCTAGAAAGATGGAGCAGGTGTGCCTGGGCTCCTGACACATCTGTCATCACTGTGGGGTAGGGTGTACCTTACTCTGTCAGAGGCGTGAACTTGCCATGGAGTGGCAGCTGAAGGTTGATGAAGGTTAAGGGTAAACTTAAGATCCTCTGGATAACAGTGAGGGAGGCTGAGATGTGTTGGATGTAGGAGGACTAAAGAAACAAAGATCATGCATAGGTGGTGGGATAGAGGAGATGTTGGCTGCTGGCCCTCAGAGGCCACAACTACCACCATTATATTGGTCTGGGGCTTCTGTGAATTGGCTTGTGAACTCTGGGGTGTTCAGCAACACCCCTAGCTTCTACCCACCATGTGTCAGCGACAGGCAAAGGCTACTGCTCCTCTGTGGCAAACAGAAGTGCCTCTAAAGAGTGCCCAGTGTCCTTTCTTATGGGGAATTGCTACTGTAGCCCAGTGGCTCTCCTAAGTCTTCTGGTAATGTCTCTAGGAGGTCCTGAGTTAAGTGAGCAAGTGTGATAGAGTCCAAATTCTGTGAGTTTACCTTCCCAGGAGTGTATGTACCTGGGTGGCACTGAACGAACCCCAGAGTCCTTTCAAAAATTGTGGCCCTGGGTTAGGTGTATTGTTCAATTGATGCAGTGCAAGCCTAGCAAGCTTAATAGGCTGAGTTTATAAAAATCTTAGTATTACCAAAAAACTGTGGTCCAGCTAAGTATGGTGATGCATACCTGTAATCTTCACATTTGGGACCGAGCAGGGTCTGTAAGATGCAGTCTGGACTTTGTAATAAGAGCTTGTCTTTTTTTCTTTTTTGTCAGTCATGGGCCTGAACTCTGGGCCTGGGCACTGTCGCTCAGCTCTTCAGCTCAAGGCTAGCACTCTACCACTTGAGTCATAGCACCACTTCTGGCTTTTTTCTGCTTATGTGTTGCTGAAGAATAGAACCCAGGGCCTCATGCATGCAAGGCAAGCACTTTACCACTGAGCCAACTTCCAAGCCCAGAGCTTATCTTTTTTTTAAAAAAAAAAAAAAGCAAGAGGTGGTTTGGTGGGAGGGGAATGGAGAATGACTGGATGTAACTTCTTTTGCAGCTATGTTACCTTGACTCTCTTCAAGTCTGATTCATCCTCCATGGGGCTGCAGTCCTATGGGTGATCTTATTAACCTTCATTGGTCTGGGTCTGGAGCATCTTGGATATGACATAAGGTCTTACTCTGAGTCAGACTTGAACATGTTTCCTAGTGTGAGAAAAGCTTCTTTTCTATGAAATGTACATTTATTACTTTCTGTCTATCTTGTGAGAATAGTTTTCTGGAAAATTTCCTTGTTGTCCTGGTGGCTTGGCCTTTATTGATTATATTTTGGTTATATTTTTGCCTGCTGCACTTGAAGAATCCTATTCAAAGCTTCTTGAATGTTTGTGAAACCCTGTTAATTCACATCCATTTGCATATTCTGCATCTGAACTCAGCCAGTGTGAGCACATGGGCAAGGCCTCTTGGCTTAGGGAATAAGAGTGAGCAGTGCCTGCTATGTGTGCTTACTGGCCAAATTTTTGGTTGATGGCACACCCTTCTGCAGGAGTAAATTTTGTCTTGCTGAGTTCCTTTGGAGTTGATGTTCTTATTCCTAGAGGACAGCCCAATATCCAGAGCCATTTCTAACACTACTGACTCTAGGATAGCTTCAATGGGCAATTTTCATGAAGACTTTCAGGGAGAGAGCAGCAATACTGGGTTTGGCTGACCAGCAACCACTCTTGTTCTCCTGGAATCCAGGACCTGCCCTTTGCTCCCTTCCTTCTCTGTGGCTGACAGAGACTCTGTCCGGTCCCTGTGGATCATGGAGTGAGAGCAGAGATTACAGTTCTGTCCCCTCCTCCCCAGCTTCTCCAAGCTCAATGGTGGATTGTGGCTCTTAGGTCTGTATGATGTGGCCATTGCAGGCCCAATATAAAGTGATTGTGTCTGCAAGCCAGTGAGTGTGTGTGTGTGTGTGTGTGTGTGTGTGTGTGTGTGTGTGTGTGTGTGTGTGTTGTGTGTGCATGTGCACAGACTAATACTGGTTCTTCAACTAAAGGCCTCTTGCTCTTGCTTAGCTTTGTTGCTCAAGGCTAGTGCTCTATTACTTGAGCCATACCTTTCCTTGACTTTATGCAAGTTGCAATGCTCAGATCTCAGCCTGCTGACTTCTCCATTTGTAGAGGTGGTTTTCCTGTCTCCTAGAGCTCACTGTCCCTGTCCTTTTTTCCATGCCTTGCACGGGACCTGAAGCAGAAGCCATGCCTTTTAGAAGGAGCAGGATGCAGTTGTCATGAGAAACATGAAGCCTGAGATACTGTGGCAGCACAGGGTGTATTGGAAGCTGAACCCACTCCAGTAGGAGAATGTTTGCCTGTGTCGAGGAGCTTGGTGTGGCTGTGCTGCTTTGGCAGGGGCAGAACCACTTCAAAAGTCAAGATATTTGGCTTGGTCATTGTCACCATCAGTTTTACATGGTATTTGTTTGGTCTGTGGTGAGGGGTCTATAGTTGTTGTCTTTTCAGAAGCTGCTGGTGAAGCTGTGGATAGGGGAGAGACTGGAATAGACCCTGAGGTTGGGCCTCAGGTGGGTGGGCCTCAGCCCTTGTCTCCCCTCCCCTCAGGTGGGTGGGCTGCTGCCCTCACCTCTGCCTTTTGGCAACCAGCATCCACCGTGGTTCTGCCCTGGCAGAGAGCCTCAGCACCTCATCTAGAGGTTTTTTCTCTCTCTGAATGAGGCAGGGGTTTTTGTTCCACACTGCCCAGGTTTCTTCTGACAGCGAGAGGGAAGTAGAGCTGAGGTATGCAATTTGTTCAAGTCTTACCACCTTTGTTGAAAACTCCCAGAGTGTTGAGCAGTGTCTGGCCTGCGCTGCTCAAGACTGTGTTTGCTGAGGAAGCTACCACTCTGGGAGACAGTCATTCCTTTTAGCAATGAAAATCACTGTGGATAGAACTATGATTTAGGATGAAAGAATCTTATCACAGTGGAGATTCTTGACCTACGTTGGCCCCTGTAGCAGAATGTTGCTGATTGACAGCAGGTAGGTAGAGGGATGTACAGTGGGATGTAGGTTGGAACTGTTGGGTGGCTTGCCCCTAAGTGCTGGTGTTGTGATACAGCACAGGGCTGTTCTCATTACCCATCCTTTCTGCCTGCATTCACATCCTTTGGGGGACACAGTTTATGTTCTCCAGCTTAAGTTCTGCTTTCCCTTCTGCTGTGCTCTGCAGACAGGTCACCTCCAATCTTGACTACCCTGGTCTCAGCGAGGAGGAGGACTCACCATTCCAGATGAGCCCTTGAGCAGGGCCCAGGCCCAATGAGTTTGTCTGTGTTCAGGGTTATAGAACCCCCAGATTCCTGGTTCTCTTTCCTGCTGTTCTGGGAAATTGAGATTCTTATAGAGATGTGCAGTCTTTATTTATGGTGTTCACCACTGGCTCAGATATCTGCCTCTGCCCCATGGCAGAGCTTCCTTCAGTTCTCTGTCTCATAGCTATACCTCTTGATTTTCTTTTTGCCTTGAGAGCTCAGAGGATACAGTCTGGGCCAGCATTCCCTTTGAACTCCACCTGCAGAACAGGCTCGTGGAGGCTGTCCCAGCAGGCTGTTGCTGGAGGCTTCCTCTTCTTCTCTGTGAAAGTTAACTACTCACAGGTGTTCCTTCTGCTCCTGGGGCCACTCTGGTCTGGTGAGAAACCTCTGAGTCTTGTTTCCTGTTAGGAAGAGCACAGACCCTTTGTGCCCATCTGGACCAGCCATGTTGAATAAATGGCATGCTAGTGTGCCCAGTGTCTGCCACATGGCAATGTGCAGCAGGCAGTTCGAGCTGCCGCTCTGGCCAAAGTAACAGAGGCTTCCAAAACTAGCTGGAATTTCCACTTTCTTCTTGAGTCCTTTGCAACTATTTCTATGCCCAAAGGCCCTGTTATAAGCATAGCTGGTCCTTAGGTGGCCATTTGTAGCATCAAGTCTTACGTTCTCCCCTCAGTCCTGTTCTAGGCTCTGAGTGGAATTGCCTGTGTGTCCTCCAGGACTGAGCAGGAGAGAGGAGCTGGATTTTGTACTGCACTCTTGTCTTCATTAAGAAAAGGGTGTCTTTTATGTTCTGGTAACACCTCCCTGTAATCCCAGGAGACTGAGATATGTTTTTATGTTTTTATGATTGTGTTTTAAAGCCAATCAGGACAGAAATGTCTTGGAAGCCCTGTCTCCAATGAACTATCAAATCTTTTGGTACTGGCATCAAAAACAAGACAAAGGTATCATCCTCAAATGGAGACTCCCAGGTGTCAAGACCCTCCCCAGGCGATGAGACCTCTCCCACTTGATCAGGTTCCCTCAGATGAGATGAGACACCCCTCCTTGGATGGCTTCCCTGCTTCAGTGGCAGGGTGAACACAAGAGCACAGTATTGATTCTGCTGTGATGACCTGGCAGGATTACACCCTGTACTAAGGAAGTTTCTTCTGGTTGACTGGTCTTTCAGGGAGGCAGAAGGAGTAAATCTGAGGTGGTCCTTGTGTCCGGAAGCTCCTTGGGGAGAGGATTCTATGTAGGGAAGATTCTCCTGTGCTTCACCTGTTGTACTGAAGCATTCCGGCTCACTGTGGGGAGCTAGTATCTTGGAAGCTTCTGTGCTGTGTGCTCATCTCCTTGTGTAACCCCACAATGTCATACTTGTTATAGGTCAGCCTTGAACTCAGTAGAATTGGGCTCCACTCCCATGTTATACTCTTCTCATGGTGGGGGCAGATATACTAATTTTAGTCTCACCAGAATCACTTTGAGCTTGAGGGAAGCCAGGACATGTGCATAGCATGTGTGAGGCCCTGAGTTCAAATCATGTGCTTCTTTCACAGCACCAAGAAGGGAAATGAAAAAGATTTCCACTTTTAGGTAGTGTACCTGAATTTACCAGCTACTTGGGACGCTGAGTCAGGATGACTGCTTGAGCCCATCTCTTCCCTGCCAGATGGGGTGATACAGTATTGAGTCCTAGGTACTCCCCAAACAAACAAATCCCGTGGAGTTTGGAGAAAGAGCAGCTTTTTCGTCTTCCTTTCCTTGGAGGTGGAAGGTTGGCAGTTTGGGGACACCTAATAGAACCTTCTTGCAAGGAGAAGCCTGTGCTAATGAGATTGAGCATGGTTCTGGGACTGGGTGGAAGGAGTAGAAGCAGGGAAAAGTTGGTCCCTCTGCTCTGGCTTGTGTCCCTGCAAGAAAACTTACACATTAGCAGGTTTGCAAGTCACGCACAGGTATGAGTGACTGTTAGTTCAGGTACCCACTCCTAAAGCCACCTCAGAGAAGCTTCATGAGAGGCCTGGGAATGTGGCCTTGTGATGTGTTTGTGTGTCTTTGTGTGTGTGTGTGTGTGTGTGTGTGTGTGTGTGTGTTTGTGTGCGTGCATACTTATGTGTGCCAGTACTATGTCTTGAACTCTGGGCCTGGGCAATCTCCCTTAGATTTGTTGCTCAAGGTTAGCACTCTATCACTTGAGCCACAGCTCCCCTTTTAGCTTTTGTGGTGGGAAATTGTGTATAGGAGTCTCACAGACTTTCTTTCCTGGGCTGGCTTTGAGCCATGATTCTTACATCTAGTCTCCTGAGTAGTTAGGATTACAGGTGTGGGCTTGCTGGCACCTGGCTCTCTTTCATTCTACTTACGTTTTTTTTTTTTTTATTTTTAGTTGTCAAGGTTCACCATTTGTTTTGAGTACAGCATCTCTTATTAGGTCTTTTTAGGTCTTTCCCTCATTTGGAGTAGTCTGCCCAGCATTGTGGGTTCTGAGGTATTACTACCAATAGGTGGCCCTGCTGCCTTTGTGATCTGGCTTTGTTACTGTTGGTTGTGGGGCCTGAACTCTGTCCCTGAGCTCTTTTGCTCAAGAGCTACCATTTGAACTAAAACACCACTTCAGGTTTTGAGTGGTTATTTGGAGACACGAGTCTCACAGACTACTGGCCCAGGCTGGCATTGAATCCTGATCCTCAGATCTCAGTCTCCTGAGTAGCTAGGTAGGATTACAGGTTTCAGCCACCAGTTCCTGGCCAATGCAGCTTTCTTAGGAAGACTGTGATTGCCTCTTACAAGCCTTCCTCAGCCTCATCTCTTTCTCACAAGGAATTTCTAGCTAAGTTCAGAGTTGGGCGAAACCCCGGATTTTTGGTTTTCATGGTGGCTTCATCATGTAGGCATGAGCAGTGATGTGAGCCACTGATGATCAACTCTGCCTTGGCCTCTGTTTCTCCTGGTGAAAAGCCCCAGCCTTTTGATGCAGCCTTTTGATGTCTGGCGTCCAGCCCCAATCTCAGGCTTCCATGAACTACAAACCATCAGCCAGCTTAGCAAAACACAGCAAGTGTCATCACTAAGATCTCAAGGGTTGTAGCAGCTGATCACAGAACGGCTCTGCCTTATCATATCATAAGAGTCTATGTTTATGTAGTGGATGTTCAGAGCTGCCAGCGTGGCAGTTTATTAAACTATGTCCTAGCTGGCTTTTTTGAATAGAAATGAACAAACCAATTTCTAAAGTTTCTATAGATGTGCATAGGATCTCGAATGGGCAGGATAATTTTGAAAAGGATCAAGTTCAAAAAATGTTACAAAGTGCTTAGGACAATGAAAGTTTGGGACATTGACAGACAGGTAAATGAATAGAACAGAATGGAAAATTGAGAAGTAATTGAAGAATATAATGTTCATTGATTTTTAAAAAAATCAAAATGTCTTAATGAGAGAGATGGTTAATCCAAATCACAACTTGTATGGAAGGAGATGAGCCTGAACTGTGGCCTCTACACCAAATATAACTCCACGTGACAAGTGGGACTATGGAGGGAAGCCAGAACTCTGAAAACTAATGTTTGACAAGAAGAACATACCGAACATGAATTAATTATACTTTGGAAAAAATAAGATGCATTGGACTTTAGTTTGCTCTCAGAGAGCTAGCAAAAGGACAGACTATAGAGAACCTGTTGTCAATGTGCCTATATCTACATATTTATCTGCCTGAAGAAGTATACAAAAAACATATAATAATTTCTTTTTCCTAGAATTGAGGATTGAACTCAAGTCCTCAGCACTTTCTGAGGCCAGATTAGAAAAGGCAGAAGATGGGGCTCAGTGGTGGAGCACCTGCCTAGAGTGTACATGGTCTGGATTTTGAGCCCTAGCACTGCCAATAAAGGACAAAAGCTTTTTTTTAAAAAACAGTTTCTATTTGAGATGTGGTATATGAATGTTAAACGAGGACACAAAAAGCTATAACAGCAGTATTCATTAGAGAAGTCACGTGTTAAGATCACAGGGTGCTCAACTGGGATGAGTGTCCCTCAAAGACTCATAGTGGTATTGGAAGGGGTGAGATCATTGAGATGTAGGGCTTGGTGAAAGGATGTTACATTATTGGGGTGTGCCCATGTAGGGGATACTAAGGGTCACCTCTCTGTCTTTACCATGCAGCTTCTGGGAATTGAGCCATCTCACTTCTGCCAGGTTGTAATGTGTAGTCACAGGCCCCAGAGGAGAGGTGCCAACTGACACAGACTGACACCATGAATGAGTGATCATATCTCTGTTGGCAGAGAATAATACAGAACATGCAGATTGCTGTTGAGCAATAGAAAATGGTACACTGGAAATAGACAGCTTTTTGTGCACGTAGAATGTAACATGGCTATTTTGCTCCTAACTATTTTTCCACACTACAGTGTGGCCTCATGAGGACTTGTTTGAAGATGTTTAGAGGAGCTTTCTTTGTAGTATCAGCCAAAGCGTGGAATACTCAGATGTGTGCCTGCAGGTGACAGGAAATGAGTGCATGGTACATCTACACTATGGGGTAACATACAGAGCAGTGAAAAGCAACTTGTGCTGAGTGGTCTAGCTTGAATTCAAAAGGGTTGTGATTCCATAAACCTGAAGTGTTATAAAAGGTCACACCAACCTAGAGTGACAGGAAATCAAAGTTCCTTGAATCCATGCTGGGAATCTTCTGGGTTGTTGGTACTGTTGTCAGTAGAGGCATGAGGTACAGCTTTAAAACGGGCTTCATTGAAAAGTGTTTTATCAAGGGTGAAGTATACCTCCAAAAGAGACATTACCCAGAAAGAACAGAAAGACCACTGCAGTGACTTGGTTTGATTTAGGGAGAGATAGGGTTAAGCCAGAATACTTGGGGGAGGAGCC